GTCCTCTTAGGGTTCAAAAAAAAAAAAAAAAAAAACAGTGAATCTGGGAAACCAATGACTGACATGCTAATCTTGACAACTTCACTGTCAACAAGTCACGTGGCCTCCACTGGCTTCATGTTCACATCCTACAACCCTACTGGACAATGGCAACAATTGGCTGAGTAGATGAATGCGAGGGAGCTAGTTTTCTATATGAATCATGCAATGGATTTGAGCCAGGCTTTATAATTTCCATCATGCTGTCGACATGAAGTGAACATTTAAAATGAGTTGACATGAAGCAATTAGGAAGGGAATCACCTCTGTTAGTATGATGTCCTTCCAGTAACGTGAGGAATCACTGAAATACCAGTACCGTGAATGTTAGACTGCTAGACCAGCTCATTTTGTCTCACCTAAATTTCTTCTGGGGGAGAAAAAAAAAAAAGCAACTCAACCTACAGAACACATCGGTAGTAACAGATCTTCTCTGCTTAAATATTAAGCCCTACATTTCTCCTGTCTCCCGTTTTTACCCACTTTACACACCAGTGACATTGTGAGGACCAAATTAAATAGCCATTTTGAAGTTACTTTAGAGTGATAAAGCAGCTTCTTGAACCTCATCTCTGCCGGACGATTACTAGAAGCAGCAATACCATGAAATGACAGATCAGCCATTCTCTGCGGGTTTGGTGAAGTACGTGGGTCCACGGCGAGTTGTAGCTGTCGCTGAGCAGGCCGTGAAGGATTTGGAGACAGTGGGAATGAACCTTGGGAAGAACAATACAACGCAGTGTATACCTGGCACCATCGCTGTCATCAAGCTGAGAGGCACGAAGCAGGCGTTACAGGAGAGTTCATCACGTGTTCTGAGCAGAAGGGATTCAGACTCACACACACGAAGCTCCTTATGACCTATGAGAAAAACTGGAATCAGCATTACACTGACTCTAGAGACTGCCCGTCCTTCTTAGGTCTGATGAAGTACATGACCCCCAGCCAGCTGTGGCCACTGTTCAGCACGTGCTGACGGTGGTGAATGCACAGGGGTTGTGAAGATGACTAGTACGGGTTGAATCTCCCTTTGTGTTCACCACCTACGAAAGGAAGAGTAAAATGTTTCAGAAAATAATAGAAATCATTACAATATAACATGGTTATTCCTTCCATTGAAGATGTGTGGAAGTTGATGTAAAAGCACAGAGAATGAGAAAAATATGGTCTATTCATGTTTCTCAAANCTTACACTAATGGGGGGCACTTGTAATGAGGTCAAAGTCGAGCTGGGTCTTCCAGAGCATAGAGAGACCCCACGGATGATTTTAGCAGAAGGATATTAGAGACAACAAACAGGAATCCTTTTAAGCCACGACACAATAGCTATGGGGAGTAAGGATGAGGAAAGACCTCAGAGATAGTTCCTTATGACCTATGAGAAAAACTGGAATCAGCATTACACTGACTCTACAGACTGCCCGTCCTTCTAAGGTCTGATGAAGTACATGACCCCCAGCCAGCTGTGGCCACTGTTCAGCACGTGCTGAAGTTGGTGAATGCACAAGGGTTGTGAAGATGACTAGCACGTGTTGAATCTCCCTTTGTGTTCACCACCTATGAAAGGAAGAGTAAAATGTTTCAGAAAATAATAGAAATCATTACAATATAACATGGTTATTCCTTCCATTGAAGATGTGTGGAAGTTGATGTAAAAGCACAGAGAATGAGAAAAATATGGTCTATTCATGTTTCTCAAACTTAGGCTGTACCACAATGACTTCAGGCTCTTGTGAAAACATAAACCTCAAGAGTTTCTGATTCAGTAATTTTGTTGTGTGGCTTGAGAATTTACATTTCTATCATTTTCCCAGGTACTTATGCTGCCTGTTTGGGGTCACAATGTGAGAATCACTGACTTACACTAATGGGGGGCACTTGTAATGAGGTCAAAGTCGAGCTGGGTCTTCCAGAGCATATAGAGACCCCACGGATGATTTTAGCAGAAGGATATTAGAGACAACAAACAGGCATCCTTTTAAGCCACGACACAATAGCTATGGGGAGTAAGGATCAGGAAAGACCTCAGAGATACCTGGTTTGACAATTGAAGATGGAGTACATGTTTACAAGTGAGACAAACAGTAAGAATATTCCAAACAGAAGAAAAATATAACATATGCAGAACAGGGGAACGGTAAGGAAGCTTGTTCCATTCAAATAATTTCTAATAATGAGATCATTCGTGAGGTCAGCAGAGGAGATGCGTACATGAATGAGAGATGTTCATAAAGTCAAAACCTGAGGTCGCAGTAGTGCGGGTGTAGAAGAAATAAAGGTGCAAAACAAGGGAATCCTGAGGAATTCATGACCAGTCAGATTAGAGTGAATGAAAAAGCGGGGTACAGAAAGGAGTCTGATTATTCGTGGACTTTTCANACTACTGTATAACTACACACACACACACACACACACACACACACACTCACTCACACACATACATTATATAAATGCAACTACACAGTTTAATATACAGCATTAGAGTAGTATATTACTATATTCATATAATACACCATGTATATATACTTTATCCGTCAAATTTAGACAGGCACCTCAAATTTTAATATATCTGCATTTTAAAAAATTAATAATCATACAACCAAACTTTTCTGCTTCTCTTCATAAAATATTTAATGCTTTCCTTTCTTCAAACTTAAAGACAAAGGTTGTCTTTTTTTCCCAAATAAAACTCTACATTTATTTCGGGTTATACTCTCTCTAAGAGTCTTCAATTCTCACCAGAATGCAGTCAGAGAGAACCAAGCTACAGCTGACATAATAGCAGCAAAAAACCGATTTTAATTCAGTTTTTAACTATTACGATTTTTAAAAATTAGGTAGGCGAATCTCATATTGTAGAGAACAATCATGCTTTACCACTCATATATACTGATTATGATGATGGCTATAAAGATAAAGGAGGAGCAAGAAGCAAGCAAAGGGAAGACAAGGAGTGGGAGAGGAAAGAAGAAAAGGGAGAATAAAATCTTACACAATTATCAGGATATTATTAAGCCACAATGTCCTTACCGAAATTTCTGTTCCTAAGAACAAAAACTCCATCTGTGACTCGCTGTTGCAATGAAAGTGCAAAAAGAGGAACTTCTGGAGTTCAATGTGTCAAGACTCAATCCTCAGCTGCATCAGTTTCCATGGCCAGATTACGTACGCCTTAAACCCCAGTAACGTCATCAAACACATAATATCGATCTGTTAGTGTCTGTAAAAATTAAAGTAAAGAATCCACTTCAAGTTCCATGTGTGACACCTGACGCACAGTAGGCACTCAGAAATTGGGGCCTCTCATTACTACTGGTTCCATTCCTCTGTAAGTAATATCCTTCCCTTTAACACGGCATTGCTGTTGCTTAGGCATTTTGGTTTCATTGGTTAATTTGGATGTCCACTTAAGCAATGCTAAAACACAGGGAACATTTTCTTAAGCCTGTAGCTATTTGGGCTTTGATAACATACTTGTTCCTTGATGAATATAAGTGCCCTTTGAAGCTGAGAAGAGGTCATGTTTATCTCCTAATGGAACAAAATATGATATTCTTTTGATAAATATGCTTTCTGTGTCTGCACCTATTTTCTTTTTATTGTTCCTGTAAATTGCAATACCTGGCACCAATAATGAAACAACAGGTTACAGTAAAACCACCCTTTACAAAGCTAAGGGGAATGCAGAAAATGGTATCACACAAACAGTACATTAAACAACCTGCCCGCAAAAGTGAATAATTAAGAGAGAAGATGTAAGGAGATTTCAGCACCAATTCTTACTCTGTTATTACATTACGTGAAGTAAATTAATTTCAAGGCACCATTGTTTTTTTCTCTTCTGTGTGGAAATGTAACCATTCTATTGAATAACCAGTACTGAATCCGGGACCAAAAAAAATGTATTCCCTGGGACTTCTACTGCCTATTTAAATTTGTTCACTGTCTAAACTGTGCACCCCGTGGATAAATTCTAAGTACGGTCACAACTTTTTCATTCACTGATAGAAAAAATTATCTTCCAGCCATTTTGGTGTCCAAAAATAAGACTCATTTTAGTAACGAAAATATTCAAGTACTTATAATAATGGTAAAAACTCAAGTATTTATTTAAAATTATATCTTCTCTGTCTACCCTGAAACTCAGCAACTCCACTCCTAGCATGTGCCCATGAAAAATAAGTGCTTATTTTCACTAGGAAATATGTACCACAATGTGCATAGACCTTTATCCAAAGTAGCCCCAGACA